CCGGCGGAAATAGGTCGCGTCGAGACCGTCGGTATAGTTGTTGCGTCGAGCGCTTTATTTTATTTTTAAGCGTTCGCACACGCGCGACGCGCACGTGGTACGCAAAGGTACGCCGATCTAATTGGCTGCGAATGGACGAGACGCCGGTCAAACATTATGCCCGTGTGTACATCGCCGGTAACGGCCGGAAGTAGGATAGAACGGTGGGCCGCGCGCGCTCGTCCATTGACGGGAAGTCGATTTGTTTCCCGCGATGTTGGCACGTCGAACACGCGGAATACACTCGTATACCCGCTGGCTCTTTTAAAACACACGGCGGCGGGATAAAATCCCTTTGTGTGCTTTTTGCGCGAGAGACTTCCGACCGTGCGCGACCGACCGAGCGCACGCACGCACGCACGCACGCACGCACGCACGCACGCACGCACGCACGCACGCACGCTTGTTCCTTCGGATCGCTTGTTCGTTAAAATGTCAAAATTCAAATCTGCTACCCGATCGAATTCAGTTTGCGTGTCGTGACACGCTCCCGCGGTCAATATTCATACGGGCGGGATAAAATTTCGTCTAAAAAATATCACCGCGGCGTACAGCTGATATTTTGTCGCGGCGAGAGAGACAGAGAGAGAGAGAGAGAGAGAGAGAGAGAGAGAGAGAGAGAGAGAGAAGCAGAAACCGAAAAAAAAAGAAAAATAAAGGAAAAAGGGGGAAAAATGAGAAGAAACGAGAACGAATGAGAGAGGAGGGAACGGGCGCACCGCGAGGAGGATCCTCTCACGAGCGCGGCGTTCGATCGAGCGTTAACACTTCGCTTGATACTTAATACCATTATGTCGGAGGAAGGGTAACGGATTGACGGGCTCGGGAACCACTTTGATACGGTATCGAGTTGCGCGAGTTTCGAATCGATGGTGGTAAACCGCATCTTCGACGCACGAATCGCGCGATCCAAAGTTCGCCGAACGCTCGAGGGCTATAGGGAACTTGATTTCCGATAAATTTACGGCATACAGCGGAGACCGGGGCGAAACGAGCGATACGATCCTCCCACGGAAAACTGTATCGATCGATCGCGCATTTTCTCCCGGCTCTCTCCCCGCCCTTTCCGCGCCGCCCGATAACGCCCGAACGACTTGCATTAGGCGAAAGTGGCGTTTGTTTGCTGATTAAAACGTGAGAGATCGCCGGATTTTTTCCTCCTTTTCTTTTCAGCTTATCGCGCTGATTATTCACGGAAAATGCGCGCGCGTATCGCACGCCGAGATGCAACCAGGAAATTTCTACTCGATAATCAAGCTGGCGGTCTCGGCGCGCAGCGTAGTAAAACGTCAGCTCGAAACGATTGCTATTTTTGTTTTCAAAAATATCGCCAACTCTTTTTATTTTGCGATGCTCCAACTCCAGATAACTGATGAGGTTACCAAAATACAAAAAAAGGAAGAGGGAAACACGGCGAAATACCATTTTGAAACCTCGTGGAGATTGCGTACAAAGCATTTTTGCTCGGCGGAGTATTTAACGAAATAAATAATAATTAATATTGGCCGGGAACGAGAAGCATTTTCCGTGCATTTCGGCGAGATTTAAATATAGCGTTTGCCGTATTTTTCGACAATCTCGTCGGTTATTTGAAGTCCGGTTTATCTTCAATCTCTGTTTAATATAAATTTCGTTTGAAGAGCAGCAAACGCGATTAAAAAGTAACGCGCGTCGCGCCGATATGCAAATAGAGATTTTGCGCTTTTTCCCAGCCGGGAGTGAGACAGATAGATAGATGGATAATAAGTGCGTTTATTATCACTCTAGGATTAATTTTTTAAGATGACTGATTTTTAAGAGAGATTGTTTATATATAACTAGGCGAGTAGAGTTGCGCGCACGCAAGACAGCATGCGGGAGACACCCTGCGTCTTCCGCGCGTCTTCGACGATCGTAGGAAGCAGGCAAAAAAAATAGAGGAATGTTTTGCTCAGTCGATCGCGCTCGTGTAACGACTTCCTGCAGGCGGATAGATTGAAATGTGAAAATAGCGCTGAGCCTTGTGTAGGCAAACAGGAAAACAAACCAGCCGAGTATCGGAAAAGCATACGGTACTTTCAAACGTGAAATATTGTTGCACGGATTCGATCGGCACGCATTTGCGCACCCAATTTTAGTGCTACCGCGGGCATAGTTACAGAGAAAAGAACAGCATTATTACCTTTATGTACGTGATTTTCATTTTATACATCGAGGCACGCGATACCGAAAATAGAAATTTCCCATTGTACCAAACTTCGCCCGTACTCGCACGACGGACGTTACTTATATTTCTGTTTATCGTGCTCGCGGAAATTAGCTCACCCGAAAGAGGCGTCAGTCTGTTCCCTGTTGGCGTCCTGAAGCCCAATCGCTCCACTTTGCGCACTCGCACTCTCCTAGGTTGCACATTATTTTTCTATGTGATTTGGAAGATTGGTGTACCAAACGTTCGCACGAATTACAAAGGGGAACGGCAGAAGCGCAGGAAACGCGCTTAAAGCTTTAGAAAATATATATTTCCAAGCAACCGGTATTTGCTTTAATATTTCCTTGTGCTCGCGCACGACAAATCTACCAATCATACAAACTGATTGCTGCTGAGCTCCTCCAGGCAAGAACCCTGAAGACACAGCCTGTGCGAATATTATCATAATTATTATTGTTGTTCCTCCGGACATCTCCGGGAAGAAAATCTCCGCGCAGTTGCAATTTGACGATGCCTGGGGGGTGGTTATATTCGCGACTTCTCCTCCCGCGGGTAGCTCCGGAAATAATAGCGCCCGTATTTCTCCCTTTTTCCTGGAGCGCCCTCACCGGAAGCGCTCGTTGTTCTCACTCGTGCGTGTCGTACGCGCAGTAATTTCCGCGCTTATTGATATCGCAGGCGCAACCTACGCACCGGTTCGGATATATATATATATATATATATATATATATATATAACTACATATTACCCGCACCGCAGGATACACCGCGGTATTCGAGCAGTAGAGCGGCGCGGGTAAGACCAGACACTCATAGGGAAGTTATGCGCAGCATTTGCCCGCGAGGACATAACTCTGCGCTCAAAGTTGGCAGAGAACAGCGCCAGGCGTCCCTTCCGCGCTGGAATAACAAACCACCCACGTTACAACTCGGAAGCGCCAGGGATGGATGCTGAATTCGATTTAAGCCAAGCCCGTTAGCACTCGCTTCCGCCAGCGGCACTTCCTCCTCCTCCTCTTCCTCCTCCTCCTCGTCGCATCCCTCCCCGCATCTCCGCCGAGCTTTTTTCCGCTCCTCTTGTTCACACCTCGCAGAAAATTGTGAAATACGCGTCGTTCGGACGTGTCGCGGCCCCGGATAATTCGATTATCGCGTATCGCTGGGCACGAGGTCCTCAAGTTTCCCCCTCAGGTCCTCGGCGAGCATGCGTATCATGCTGCAGCTGATCCCCTCGCGCTATTACAGTCTATCTCACTCCGAGAGCTCTTGTAATTAAATAAAAACTACCGTTAATCGCGTGCGCGCACGGTTCTCTCCATATATTCCCAGTTCCCTCCCCATTTATTATCAATCAATAATTTCACTCCTCCGGAGTCTCTTCTTCGTACGTCATCTCTCGCGGGTCAATCAAATCTCTATTCTAATTCTATTCTTACAGCGTGTCCGAGTAATCTCCTTATCCCCCACAGTGTCCTTCCAATCTCTCATGATCCTCTTATAATATATTCTTGCGATATATTCTCCGTCCCCCCTCCCTCCTGCTCGTCGTCGTCGCCCAGGTCTTCTTGTTAATCACGAGAGTGCAGCGAGCCGGCGAGGAACCGTCGAGCCGGGGAAGCGCACGCACGCGGAGCGCGTCCCTTTTCCGCTTCCCGGTGACGATATTTCTGCGAGTGGAGAGACGGACGTGCTCCTCTCTCTCTCTCTCTCTCTCTCTCTCTCGGCTCTCGTGCCGGGCCGATGATATATCGAGGGGCCGAGGAGACACGGCGAGCCATACATACCGTCGTCGTAAACCCGAAGTCTCCGGTCTCCGCGCGTCTTCGGATTCAGGACACGCCGGATAGATCTGACGTGGGAAGAGGCCGCGTCGCATTCGCACCCAGGACTCGCCCGAATATTACGTTTATTCCTCGCTTCGCGCGCGCGCGCGCACGGGGTAATGCGCCGGGCGATCCGCCGGGAGTCGGAAACGAGCGCGACGAATGCACGCCGTGGCACGTAATATTCGCGCGAACGTGATTTCATCGAAGATTTCATAAAATTTCGCCGAAGCATCCAAGTCTTCTTTCCCCTTCGGTGCAACTATAGTAATTAGTATTTTGGTTCTCAGGCGAGGTTCGTTGCCCCCCCCCCCCCCCAGCCTAGAAGACGCGAACGGCCGGAGCTCTTTATTGTGCTCTTTTCCGTCAAAGGGAATCATTCGAAGAGGATGCGCTTATTCTTGACTTCATATTTTTCGCGACGCTCGGGCGCTCGAGAGACCCAACGATTGATTCGCGATACCGCGGCGCGGCGTCTTGCTTTCGTTAGCACTTGGAATTATTCGACGATCAGCATGGCCTGTTTCCGCCGGAGCGACCGGGAGGTTAGGTTTCCGAGAGGACATGCAAGGACGAACAGCTTTATTCGCTACTCTCGAGGTCTCATTCGAGGTCCGTTGAAAAAATATAAAATACATCATCGTTACATAAGTTCCAGTAATTTTTCGCTCTGGTGATTTTCCGTGTTTCTTATGTCCCGCTTTGAGAAGCACCTTTCTCATGAACTTGAAGAGACGCACGCGCATGTGTACGCGTCCTAGTTTGCAGTATCAAAGATTTCACGTAAAGCATAAAGTCTTTTTTCCTCTCTCGTTTTAATTTAATTAATGTCTTGAGAGAGAACATTTATTTAACAGGGTTCGTTTCCTTTCGCTCAGGAGACGTGACCGAGCGCTGTAATATTGTATCCCTTTCTGTCAAAGGCGTTGAAGAGCGCGAAGGTACGCTTACCTTTCGCCTAAAAGATCGATGTAGCCTCGGCACTTTCGACGTTGATATTTTCGCCTTCAAATTATCCAGAGGTGTACGACTCGTCCTTCCCGCCCGCAGGGAAAGAAGCGCGCTCTGTGCAAATAATGTAAAGGGTTCGCGTAAAATTTACTTGAGACCCAACCGCGTTCCTGCGCGAGGTAGCCTGCGGCGATGTAACCGCACGCGAAACGAGCGTTAAAGCACGGGCGCGCTAGCGACGTAAATTCCTTGGCGTGAAATTAAACATCCCGCGGTAAAAGGATTAGCAGCTCGATTCGCGTCCGCGTTTCGAAGAGCGAACGTTATGCTCGCGATTACGCACGATGAACGGGGATTCGACGTAAAAAATTACCCGTCCCGTTCGGGCGATCGATCGATCGTAACTCAGCGCGATGCGGCGTTTATTAGTCCGGAGAGTTCGCGGCGAATCTATCTGCCGGCCGAAATTCGATCGCGTCCGGCTCGCGATAATAAAACCAATTCTTAATCCGCCTATTCATCCGCTCGCTGAAATCCACGCGATGCGCGTGTGTGATCAGTATTGCGCGCGCACGAAAACGCCCGCTTTTTTACTCCCTTCGACTGCGTGCGCGTGCAGAAATTCGCCAGGATTCGCCAGGATTTTCCCGGATGCGGCGTAGACCCCGGATCCGGCATCCACAAAAGTATTTGCTACTCTTGGCTGCAGTGGTGTATATTGAAATCCTAGTCGGCAGGGCCAGTTTTGTAGTGAGCGTTAGCAACAATAACAATAAAAGTGGCTACAAAATAACTATGATCTCAGTCCGATGGATTATTTTCTCGTCAAAACTGATGAAAAACACAGTTTGTCTCTGTTTAAAATCAAGATAGAAGAGCAATGAAAATGTCGCGCTTTCTTCCATCGGTAATGTCGGCACGCACGGTGTGCTTTTCTGCTAGCAAACGGGAGGAAAATCTCATTTTTATGTCACTTATTGAACAAAAGGAGGAAGAGAAACGAAAGTCTAACGTAAAAGAGCAGAAAAGAATAATTGAGAGAGAGAGAGGGAGAGAGAGAGAGAGAGAGATAGCTGAATGAGTTTTTCCCGCTTAGAGTCGCGCATTCGGGACGTTAGACTTCCAACTTGCGTGCAGACTTCGGGAAATCGGACTGGATCCCAATGAGAGCCCGAGAAATTTCCCACGCGGATGGAAGAAAAACCTGACCAGGTCAGGGGCTCGCGTTGTAAGTCCCGTCGCATTTTAAGCGGCGAACAAACGCCCCGCGATTCGGTCGCTAATTGGAAATCAGTGTGTACGGAGCGTACGGAGTTGGTTGAGGTTGCACGCGACGAGTCCGCGTTCATTGGAAGCTCTTACGTAGTGGAATTGAAAGTTTCGGCATTCTCCTGTACCTTTCTTCTCCGCCAGCTTCGCGCGTTGTAAGGCCGTTGTTCGTCGTAACAACCGTTTTTAATGAACCGAACTTGCAATCCTCGGAGCTACGAACACAATGCAGCTGCAGCGGCAAGTGCATTCGACGCAATCTCCACCGGCGCGCCCCGCTTTTTCGCGATTTTACGCATATCTGCCGCGCGCTGCCTCCGCAAAATTCTCAACGCCTCGCTACCGCGGATTACGCGAGCACGACGGTGAAAGAGCGTCAAGTTGTCGCTCGTTTCGCGATAATGCGTTCTTTCCGGCATCAGCAAGGATCACGGAGATAATGGAGACGTTTAATCGTGTCATTACGAGCTTTCACGGGGGACGGAGGTCTCGATGAATCCAACTCATATCCCCGACTAGAAATTTATCCCACGGTCCTGATCGGGTTAACCTCATTTGGACATCAGGTCCCAATAAGGTAATACTATCGGGTCCTAGTAAGTCATGTAACGTGGATATCAGGACCTTAGTAAGGATTCGTGGTCAGGCCCTTATTGAGTTACCTTATGGAATCCTTATCACGTTTTTTTTCAAATTATGGCTCCTGATTACTCGCCACGGCTATATTGGATGATGACATTGGAAATAAGAAATGACACGCTGAGAATTCTTTCGTGTCATTTCCAAATAAAACGATATTTGCATGAAATAATATTTTAGATCGCTTGAGCATACTTGTAAAATGTTTCGGAAAACAAAACATAAAATGAATATCATAAGATCATAAAGTATCACGGGGTGACAAGACATAAAGTAGTGTTAAAGAGAAAATAAGTTGCGTGTCACGTTAATTTTACAACTATTTATTGACTGCTAAAAAAAGAATAGTTTCTATAGCATTTTACAAATATATTCAAGTGATCTGAAGTGTTTTCTCAATGCAAACATCTTTATATTTGGAAATGGCACCCAAAAATTGTTTCGTTGAAACTTGATAATGCAAATCATATTAGGTGCAATGGATAAGATCCCGACAAGGGATCTGATTAATTGAACCATATTATATCATATACTAGGTTGGTACATTAAGGACCCAATCATTATAACCTTATAAAGGTCTTCCTTACTCATTTGTCGTTAGGACATTATAAGGACTGACTTACTTAGGATTACCTTTCATTCACTCTATCAGGTCCTTGTCAATGTTAGGTGAACCTGATCAAAATTTCTAGCCGGGTCAATCAATTAATTTTGTCCCCGAGCCGAGTTCGTACGTTGAACTTTGCATCGAACGCCCGCGTTATAATATCGAGAAAGAATTCAAGCGAGACCGAAGGATCCAATTTCGCAACTTCTTTCACCGGCAGCGATTCGCACGATCCGAATATTCGCGTGGCTCTGAAAAATATGCACAAAAATTGCGATTTAGGAAATTCGCCCGTCACCGAGGAATTAACAACACCGTCGACGACTCGTCGCGGCCGCCAGCGCCATTAATTGCTGATTGCTCTCGTGGAAAAATCATTTCGCCGAGAGCGCCACGCGGTGACGGGGAAATCTCGTCGAGCGCGCACTTTCGTGCCCGACAAAGGTCGCCGCTGATTGGGAAATCCGACGCGCACGGGGAAAAGGGCTCGAGTGACCTCCGCGAGCGCGAGCTCGAGTGACTCGTCGATTTTCCCAGAGATAAATTAACGGCCGATACTCTCCCTTTCTTTATTGTTCGTGAGATCGCTCGTCGCAGCAGCCGACGACTGTCGGTGAGCGAAGTGTCGCTCATTATCGCGACCATTCTTCCTCGCCGCCGTCGCAGAAACGTACGTCGCGACCACCACGCTCCACCATGTGCCTGTCGGCCGCTCACTTTTGGCCATTCGCCGTCGTCGTCGTTTCTAATTATACGCAGCTCCTCGTCGGGGCAGCTCTCATTATCGAGCGCGCGAGTACGTCCGCCGCGCCGCCGCTCGCGGAAAGTGCCGAGCGCAGTTACGAGCCGAGAGACCGATTTCCTTGCCGCGCTCTCGCGACTCGGGGCCGAACTGAAGCGTCGGCGGCGCTTAATTATTTAATTGCAAGAGACGATCGCGAAATGGCGAATCGGGAGCGTGACGATTAACAGGCGTGTAGAGTCGGGCCGAAGCCCTGCGCGAATCGAGCGCTTATGATAATGAGGTCCGGGTGTCTGTGATAATGGCATCCGCGAGTTCTTGCACGTTCGTAAGAAGCGATTTGGCGCGAGAGTGAGAGGCTGGAGGTCGGAGGGACGGCGAAGGGCGGGGGAGCTTTTCTTTTTGCGACGGAACTCGAGACCCAAGTCTCGAGGGTTCAAAGAAGTTAGACTCTTCCGCGGTCTCACGATCGGCAAGTTTTACAACGGTAACGACGTTCGGAAAATTCGAGTCCCCGGATCTTGCCGGTTCATCGATGAACCCTTTTTTCCTCGAATTCGCTCGAGTTTAAGGGGAATATAAATATTTGAGGAGGGACAAAATTGAGCCCAGAGACGCGTTGACCGCGCGCAACGGGGGCGCCTTAAAGCGTCCGCCCCGACAATAATTCCACGGGGGGGGGGCTGTGCGCACGAGTGAAGCGGCGAGGGAAAGAAGGGCGTAGGAGAGGGGGGGGAGCAAAGGAAGGAAGCAAAAAGAAGAAACGTTCCGCCAAAGTTAGACACTCGTGACAAGGATGCGAAAAAAGGGCCGAAAAGGAGAAATGGAATGAGTGTCGGTCGGCGGGGTGACCGCGGGGGGGGGGGAGAAGAGCGGGGAGGCTGCGAAAGTTTTAAACGGGTCAGGAGGTCTTGTTCAAAAAGTCATTCGCGAAAGCTACGCCAGCGACGACGAGCGCGATATCGCGCGACGGTAGCGCCGCTAGCGGAAGAGGGCTCCTTTTTTTCGGCCCCGATGAAGAAGCGCCCCCCGCCCCGGAAACTTCAATAACCCTCGTCTCACCGGCGTGTCCCAATATTTAAACAACGTACCCGCCGCCCTGAGACACCGTCTCGCATGAATGGCCATCTCGGCTTGACGAGTGTATCACTCTCCTCGTGTATCCTCAAACACGAACTTTTTTACGTCTCGTCGACGTTTACGGATTAGACGGATGGCGCGGCGCGACAGGTATCGATCGCCAATTCCACGTCGTCGTTGACGCCGAGATTGCAGCGGAGACGCCGCGATTCCTCTTTCCGCTGTGCGGCTCTGTTCATGTCAGGTGATCGTGCTCCGCGGACACTTTCTCCATCCCCGGGGTAATTTAATTTTTTAACTCGTCAGAAAAGGGCTTTCGACGTGCCCTTTGATGTATCTTAGTCTCTTGCCATTTAGTAAATGGAAGGCAGAAGGCACTCTACGGCGACATTGGAAAGAGTATACGAAGCGAAAATACGGAGAAGTCCGACTTTCTCGAATAGCGTGAAATTTTAATGACCACGGTTATTAAATAAAGGTTAGCGACGCTCTGCGACCCGCGGAGTACTCTTTGCAGATTCGACGTACGGTTGTTACAAAAATCAGAAAGACATCATTAAATGAGCAACACAACACCAATATATATGTATTATGTATATTTAATAAAATTTGTTAATATTTTCTCAGATGGTTGTATTTTTTCGGCGATACGTTCAATATGGTTATAATCGCATCTTCACTTTTTTCATTCTCTCTCTCTCTCTCTCTCTCTCTCTCTCTCTCTCTCTCTCTCATTCGCTCTCTTTCTCTTGTCGCTAAAGGTATTATTGGCCACGT